GTGCCCTAGTTTGCAAGTTTAAAACTTTACTTTTGAGGAGTCAAAACCTGTTTTGAGATTTTAATCTGGAAAATAAGCTTCGATATACAATAGTGAATTATTTTTTTAGTTAATTGGAATAGATTAGAGTTTTATTTCAATGTGCTGACCATAAAAGTTCTTGTTCACAGATCTTGTAACAATTTTTTCGAGGTTTTCAAAAACGTTACTTGTTACCTTAGGTGTTGCTGCGCTCAGTCTGTGCTGCTTCGACCTCGAGCCAACCCAGTACGGCCTTCACTTTGTAAGAATTTAATGATTTTTCTCGATTCCTGAACGGTTTCTTTACGTTTAGTAATAACTGTTAAAAGAAGGCAATTAGTATGGTGCTGATTAAATGACAATGATTATTCGATCATTTTCATATATCATAATTTGATGTCTTTCTCTAAACTAAAAGGCGCCTTTTCCCTATTATTAATAAATATTCCCTAACCAGCTTATTGGTTTACCTCTCCCTTTCCTCCTTCTTTTTTTGCTGCTTCTTAATTAAGAAGGCGGTAAAGGTTATCATCTCCTTAGTTATAAAGGTCTTTATGAAAATCTAGTGGAACTACAGAAAAGCAGAAACCTTTTATTTCCCTGATAACTCTTTCCAAATAGGGATTTTATCTCATACCAAACATCATTTGCAGTAGTAGGCAACCTATGAATGATAAAATTTTTGGTCTACAATGAATGGTAGTCCAGTATTCCATCCCTTATGTAAAGCTCTATACGTGATTTGTTTAATGTTATGGTGTCATCCAAAAGTCCACAGATATTCAACCTGAAATACTTCGTCCATCCAGTTATACTTTTTTCAGTCGAATAACTTCTTAAAACTTTCTCAAAATTCAATAATCATTTCTGAAACTGAAATGATTCTGACTTGGGTAAAACAAAATTAGAGACTCCTTTTTGATATTGAAAGGATCGTTTCCCTTAAAGTTATGTTCAACGATGAAGCAAAACTGAAACGGACCTCACTACTTTAACATGTTGGTCAGATTGCGTGTAAGATGCTTTTCTGGCAAAAAATTAAATGAAAAACCATTGTAGGCTTGAAAATATTTGAGCTTAGGAGAAGGTCTACGATCTGGTGGGTTGCCATGGGAACAAAATCACCAAGCTATCGTACAAGCTATCGTATAAACAGTTTATCGTTCTGACGAAATGCTAACGCTCGAAGATGCATCTTTGAAACTTTTTACGGTGGCCAATTTACTTTATCAACTCAGTTAATAAAACGAAATTACCCTGTTATACTCTCCTAAAGACGCAACACCACAGTTTCTTTAGAACCTTACCCCTTTAGTAATATGATCCAAATTGGTTTTATTAATAGTATTAAATAACAAAAACTTTAAATATCATTACATAGGTAGTATTAGCAAGGCAGAAAAAAAGAAAAATAGAGAAACATAAATAAACTTCAACTAATAGCTTACAACGCTACATTGTCTAAATAAATCCTTCAGAAATAATTTTGGTGCAATAAAGGGTTCGTTTGTTATATTTTCATTTGACGTTCAACTAATATAATTTTTAAACAAATGCTATAAAGTTCGGAAAAAATCAAACATTCCTAATACCAATTACTTACATGGCTAAGTCTGATGCAGTCCTTTTTCTAATCTGCATATTCTAGAAATCTGAACCTTTGCAATTAAAAAAGACTGAAAAAGTACTCAAGTGTTTTCTTGTAGTAAAGAATAATACTTAATAGGGTCCTTAGGCAGTCAGGACAACAACGCCGAGGAACACGTCGATTAAAAAATGAATGTTTATTGTAAGTTAGAATTTCGCGAATGGCTTCATGTTTATATCGTCTCTTACTGCGCTTCAACTCTGCTTTAGCATAACTTAGGCCCACTTATATGGTCTAGGGTACCCGAGAAAACTCTCTCCACGAGACAACTTTACAGAACGTTTACATGGAATTTGACATTTGACAAAGTGGCGGACGATAGGAAAAAATTGCTGTAAACATCCTGGTAATGGCGTGCGCACGCATTTTCTATTCCAGTTGCCTCGTCTCGGGTCGGCCAGACAAGATGTTTACATGAGAAGAAGTTGCCCCACCTGTCCGGGCTACCCTACCTGCCGAGGTGAGACAACTCGCCCCCTCAAGTTGTCTCGCCCACCAGAGACGAGTTTACAACCTCCTGCAAACGGTCGGCTGAATTTTGTAAAGAAATGATTGAAAAGGTAGCTCGTCCAGGGTAACTCAGGGGGAAAGGTTGTCTCAGGTACCTAAGGCTATGTAAATGGATCATTATTTCTAGGCCTCATCGCGTTACAAACGAAAACTTAAATCATTTGAATTTGGGTTTTTTTGTCAGAACGCACAAAGTCTATACAAAGGTTTAACGTATGCGCTGACTATTATTATTACTATTATTATGGTAATAATAACATTAAGAACTATTATTCTGTCCACGATATCCTTTATTTTGACTTCCTCGTTGCCATTACCTTGTAGTTTTCTTCACGTCCCTATCGTTTAAAACAGCACAAATTAGGCCGGTGCAGACTTCACCTCTGTAGAATTCATACCACGCGCATAAATCACTGAGTAAGATATGAGAAAACTGGATTCAGAAATATTTTTGCTACTTCCGCCAAAACAATGAAAGGAGAGCAAGCGGTTGATGTTTGGTCGCGAGGGAAACAGTTTACGATGATGTTTTACCAGCGGATTCTATGCAAATTCTAGCATGGCCACTTGATCACTAATCAGCCAATCCCAAATGCAGTAAAAGCAGGAAATATGGAAGATTCGACTCTTCTGGGTGAATTTTACATTGAACTGATCAGAACACGCGAAAATCACTATTTACTTAATTATGTGGTGGTACTTATCATACGGAAAGTTCTAAGAGAGTCCAGTGGTCGAATTTTCATATCAGTTTTGGAAGCGCTACCTTTGACACTGGTAAGAACCAATTCTCACCAGTGAATATCGGTCCAGGTTTCATTTCCACAACGTGTGAAAATACTGTTGAGATTTGAAAGCCCGAGTAATAGCAGAATACCAAATATTGCGATTCATTATAACCTTCTTTATCCCATACCAGCCTCGTTACATATCTGTTTCACATGAACCGTTTTTTTTTTTTTTTTTTTTCAAATTTTCATTTTGCCAAACTATGAAATGATTTTAGGGTTTCGCTCAAGTCCAAGTAAATTTTCATTACTGAGGAAAACAACATCGTAGCTTTGAGTAAGGAATTTAAGACTTTTTCATCGTTCGTTTTGTTAAATCAGTAGCTTCCTAAATTCTAGGAACAATGTGCTGAAAATTAGTAATAAAATTGACAATAATAATGAGAATAAAGACAGCTCTAAAAGGGTTGCGCTGACTAGGGAAAACTGAGTACGCAAATTCTCTTTATTTTTAATCTTAAAATTATGAAGAGATTTATGATAACTTTTCCGTTTCCGAATATCTATCTTAGTTTTGGATATATTTGTTATTGTTTCTTTTTTCTCGTTTTCGATATTATGCGTAAAATAAATAACTAGTGATGCCGTTCACTAGTTCCAGTTTTACACTAAAAGTATTTAAAAGGAGCTATATCGGTCAAGATGCTGCAACGAACAATGAAATAATTAAAAATCACCGAGTAAAATATTGAAAAAAAAATGGACTAAAAAATATATCTTGGTTTAATTATGAATGCAAGAAAACTAAATTTGGAGTATAGGCTAGGGGTTGTGGGAGGCCAGTGGCACATACCCAGCAAAAATTGGCCCATGTACCAACCTCTCCCCCGCGGATAACGCAAATACTGTACTTCATGTCTTGTTGTGAGGGAAAAACTGTATGATGATATTTCCCTGGTGGAATACATTCAAACACGCGATCTCTAATCAGGCAATCACAATCATAATAAGATAAAGGGATAATTTGGGTGAAAGACAAAATTCAATCACTGTGGCTGATTGGTTTACGTATCATTTTATGGTGTAAAAGTGTCATGTGCTGGAGTCCGTAATTACTCGATCAAACCCAGCCTTCTCCATTGGCTTTTCTTTCGGTTGGACCTTTGATTTTGGGGAGGTATTTTGCAGGGGCTTAGGGTTTCCTCTATACTTAAGAGCCATTGAGTTTGAAATTTTTGAAATCCGTGTCCAAAATTACCCGAGAGAAGAGAACTATGGCCAGTTGGAACTTAAAAAGGTTGATACGCTAGAAATGAATTTGCTTGGATCTTCTCGAAAAAGTTTTTCCCACACTCATGTTTTTAAATTCCCTAAAAAGTGCATCATTCTTTGATGAAGTGCTTATTCTAGAGATGTCTAACAATATCACTGTTCTCAAGGCCCCGACTTAACGAGTGTAACGTCTGAATGAGTATTTATTTTCGTCTATAGGTAAGGGTAAGAAAGCTCGTCATGCACACAAGCGTTTTGATGTTTGGTTTTTTATTGCTTTTGATGTCTATTTTCTATACAAATCCGCTCGAAAGTGGTGATAAAAGCAATCTTTTCCTTCAGAAGCCTCCGTCTAATGTCGTCCCAAAAAACAGAACCTTTTCTTTAGGCTTCACTTTTGAACCAAAATCTCCATTTCTATCAGAAGTTTTGGTTGTTTTAGCGTTAAAAATAGGTGGACGTGTCCCAAAAGGTATGTGTTTTCAAATAGAAAATCATAGGTGTGGCCTTGACTTAAGGCCTGGCACCTTTAGGGAGGAGATTGGACAGCGCTTGCTCTAGTACATACGGCAATGTATGACGCTTGTAAGAGCACCTTGTGTTGAAGTCAAAGCATCAATAGTTAGGGATTAGTGGTGGATGTGCAATTACACATCCACCACTTTCATCAACACTGAGGTAAATATTTTTTCTACTTTATACCAGTATGGACATTTTCCATTAATCAACCTTGTGGTGTGTTTACTTTCTTAAGTTAACGTGAAAAAACTAATCACAAGCATTGTATTGAAAACATACTTTCTTTATTAATGGATGAAGAATAGTTGAGTTAGACCAATGAAAGGTATCTTTTGACCTATGAATGGTCTACAATATCATTCAGAAACGAAAGAGAGACAAGGGTTTTCAGTCAATATACCGTGAAAAAGAAGAAAAGAAGTCGACTGATCTTATTTTCATTTCTGCTGATTTGGGAATGCTTTCCTCTGGTGCGGCACCCAACTTAGCCCAGTAGATTGCGCGCGAAGTTTTATTATCAAAGTAAATCCCGTTGAGATTTGACCAAATAGCACAATCACTATCGCTATACCACCAGCCTCCGCCTCTCTTTTCATCACAATCATGAGGATATCTATCCCAGGTACCAAAAGCGAAATTCCTGTGAAGACCGAAGGAATCAGAGGTCACAGTCTCATCTGTTTCAAAACAAAAAAAAAAAAGAAAAGAATCAGCATTGGGATCATGTTGACGCCTTCGAAGCGTCAAGCTTGATGTCTGTGACAAAACAAACAAACGAACAAACAGACAAAACAAAACAAAAAAAAAAACAACAACAACAACAAAGCAAACAAAAAACCAGCAGAACAAGACTCAATTTATGCAGTAGCTACATGCTGCTTCGGTGAAATAGATATCTCTTAGCATATAAGTCATGAACTTTCAACTGATTAACTATTATTCGACGAGGTGGCTAAATTAAAAGTGCGCAAGTTGGATAGTTAAACAAACTATGATATATTTCTAGAGCTGACTTCAGTAACTGTTTGATCATTGAACTGCAGACTCCAAAGTAAACTACCCTTTTCAACAGAGAAGCTTGGACTCAACCTCGCGTGAGCGGAATAGTCAGACGGTTAGAGGAACAAACAGTTATTGTTATGTTCCATGTGGAAGGGATGGGAGAGAGGGAGAGGGGGTTCTTAAAGGATGAGGAAAATTAAAGATAAATCCAAACAATGAAAATTAAAGAATGGTTTACTAACTAGTCTTATTGCCAAGGTACAGCCGGTACTTAGCCATTTCGTTCCCAATCCCAAACCAGCCATACTCAGCGTGAGCAATTGTGCCAGTTTTTACTCCCAGATCTATTCGAAGCTTGTTGTTTGTCTTGTTTCGGGTCAGGCGGTTTATTTTGTCCAGTCCGAGCCAAAATTCACCGATAAAGTAACCGAAGCCATATTTGTAGTCATCCCAGGTGCGGTTAAAATCAACAGAGCCATCCATTCTCTTCTGGATCACTGTCCATCCCCCACCAGCTGTCATATGGTCACAATATACATTGAAGGCACCTGAACCATCTGGGTCGATTGTGTAAACACCACTGATTCTTTCACCGGATTCGTAAAGTTCAGCACAGTTTTTGGCTGGTAAGAATAATAACGATAATAATAGTAATAGTTATAATTATGATTATTATAATAATAATAAAGATCAATTAAAGTGAGCGAGAAGTATCAACACGCGTACGAGACTAGAGAATCATAATTACTTACGCGTCTCTGATGTCCTGTTATTTGTTACTTGTTTTGGTACTTCTACTTCCTTTACTCCTTTCAAGTGAACAGTAGTGTAGTTTTGGAAATTCACTGAGGCTGCACACGTTGATGATAGAAGTTCAAAAGTCACAGAAAGTGCCAGAAACAGCAGAGCTGAGCCTGAAGGAAAGAAGTCATTATGTGGTGTGAAGTCACTCAAGCTATGGTATGCTATAAGGCTTAGTTACAGACTTAAATAACCTAGTGATTGGGGGAAAAACTACAAACATGATACACTGAAAGAATAATGACAAAAAGTTCGCAACAACTCAGAACTGGTGGCGAAGAAGGGGGGAGGGGGGGAGAGTCATAAAAATATTACAGAGCCTTGTTGGGGGATCAGGTAAGTGTTATCGAGACACAACTCCTTCGAACCATTTCCCCCCCCCCCCCCCCCCCCCTTTTCTTCCCGCCCAAACTAATGACCGACCAACCGATCAATAGGGGGAGTCTTAAGACTTAAGATCCGTTAGGAAGGACTCCAAAACTGCAATCAACCAATCAGATTGATTTGTTGCCGGTCTTGCTAATATGTTCCCATTTTCGGAAAAGGAACTATACCGGGTGTTGTCGTGTGATCAGGCTAAAAAGGAATTTGTCTTTGCTTTTCGAAATCATGACTGAAGACAACGCACACAAAAAAGTATGGGGGATCTATCTCTCAGCTCCTTGAATTCTGATTCTAAGCGTGTTAATCGACTGAAACCTGCTCAAATCTATGTAGGTTGTGCTCATTTTCAGTAGCGTAAAAAGTTAATGAAAATACATTATCCTATTCGATTTTATTTTTGCTATTTTGTGTCATACGATTTGTTTGATTTCATAGGTTAAGCCTGAGGATGATTCTATTTCCGTAGATATTGATTTCCACGAAAATGAATTGATTTTTAGACAAGTAACGAATTAATTTCGACACTAAGGGCGATAAACCAGCCAAAAACTCTGCATGAACTGATCTTTCAGGAGGCCATTTTTTTTAAAAAAGCTAAATATAGCCGTCGAGCCAGACTCTGACTTCCAATTCCTAGGGCAGAAGCGAACCTTAAACTGAATTTACTCGTAACAAGGAAATCTTTTTCAATGGAAAGATTTAACAAGCCAATCGAGTTTTGAAATTGAATTGTACAGACCTCAGAAAAAATAAACAAATAGTTTCATGTGCTACCATGAGCATTAAAGTTGAACTGACTGTACTTTTTACTGCATGAACCAGACGGTAAAACATTTTGAGACGTTTTGAGATTTATTCTTTGCTGTCGATTTTTTTGAGAGTTCATTCTGGTTACTAAATTAAGAGCGGCATTTAAGCCCCGCGTACAGTCCTTAATTTAAGAAAGCAAGCATTAGATCTTAGCACGTAAGTCTCTACACTGAAAATTTTATACCGACTATCCAGATGTTACATACCTATTCCTTGTTGTATGCTCCTCATTTTAATTCTTCGGGTGTCGTTTGCAATGTTATTCACAAAGGCTGCAAAAAAATTTAAAAAATAAAAAAATATAAAATGAAATAATAATAGTGATAATAATGATAACAATAATTTGACAACCTCAAAAAAAAGGAAGAATCAAACTTTTTTCATCAAAAGTATGATGGCAAAGACTAAAAGGACTTAACTTACCACTAAGTTCACCTAGTCCACTTATTTACTTTCTCTTACCGCACGCTTTCTTGGCGCTCCGTTCAATAACTGACAAAGTGCGTGCGAATTTTAATTTATAACATACGCAAAGGAAACAAAAGGGAGATGTCCCTCTTTTGTTTCAATTCATGAAAGCTTAGAACTTCCTTTACCTCTTAGTTGAAATTAGCTTATATTTCTAATTTCATTGTGAATTTCCGACACATGGTCTTAACAAGACACACCTTTGTTTTTATAGTTCGTCTCTAGCCAGTCATGTAAGGAGTTCACAAGAACTTGTACGTTTATTATATTACTGGAATTTAACACAGGGTCGGTTTGCCTATTGTTAGGAAATCAGCTAGTCTAACACAATTATCTTAATTTCACCTTGCTTCGGAATTTCCTTTTCAACAGGAAATATCTAACAACCGTTGATATCTTTATCTGATAAATGTGAAATATGTGCTGACATGCAGATGAAATACAAGTAAAAAAATTATTCTCACAGGTGAGCGGCACTTAAAGCAATAGCACAAAAGAAGTTCCACTCGAAGTGGTGCCATCCAGATACTAGTTGGGCCCTTTTATCAGCTAAACGACGAATCGAGACGTCGGGAGCACTCCCAAAACCTGGCCTCAAGCAAAACTTGCAGAGCAGTCATTATATTATTGCTTAGAGACCCAAAAGGGATGAATATTATTTTTTCAGTTACACCAATAATTCTCAATATCGCACAGCAGAAATATTTCTCCTGATACAGTACTTTACTGAGATAGACAGGAGAAATCGAACCGTTTCATTAATCAAAGTTGACACCTACAAATCTTTTTTGTTCTTATGCAGTTATGGAATACAAACTCTTAAATGTGGATGACAAGCAGTGGCTTTGTCTTCACAAGCATTTCTTCGAAAGGCTTAGCGAATGGCTAACGTTAGATCGGAAATTTTGTGAAACCAATTGCTTTTCTAACTCGCGTAAGGTCAAAAAAGCTAAGTGACGTTGTGAGTTTGCGCGCTGAGTTCTTCCAATTTGATACTTGTGGGTGTAAAATCTCTCTTGTTCCCTATCAGAAAATAAAATTTGGCTATAATTCAAAGGCAAGTTGTGATGAAATCCGGGTTTGTTTATCTTGATGTCACAAATTACAAAATAGTTCTATTAAATAGAAATTCCCGGAAATTCCACTGAAATATCGAATAGAACAGAAAGTTTCCGGAATCTTGTTTTAACACTTCTTCTCAGGCTCTCTTAAGGTCGTCTATTTTCGCGGAGATTTGAAAATTCCGACAATGAATTTAAACCTGTAATTTAATAGGTGTTGTGGAAGACGTGATATAGTTGGCATTAATTCAACTTTCGCAAGTCAATTCTAACACAAGCGTCAAAAGTGTGAGGATATCTAATTTCTTCTATCACAGAAAGTGCATGCAACATAATCACAGCTTAAGTGGAGATGAAACGAGATGTTTTCGGCCTGCTTCAAAATCCTGTTCCAGTAGACACGTATTTTAGATAACTGATTGGCAAGGGCCTGAGTGTGATGGTGTGTTTCATGATGCTAGATATTATCTCCCTGAGTAGGGGACATCTTGGACCATAGTTTTACTTACTGTTGTCGTTTTTACTCGTAGCTTCATATTGAATAAATTATAGGTAAAACTAAACTACACTGCTAATAGATGTCTTTGAATTATGGTATTTAGACCAGCATTCCCCACGGTGCTGTCTTAGGACCTCAACACCTACCATTCAAGGCACTCGAGTCCCCTTTTTCCACGAAATGGTGGAAGATAATCACCAAATCTAACTGCGCAAAGAGAACATTACACTTTGCCATTACAAAACGACGCAACAATTTCAGGGTAACAGAATGAATGGCCAATATTCTTTTGAGCAAAAACATGGAATGTAAAGGACATAAGCATTCGTTATAAATCCTAGACCAGACAAAATTCTGCGCGAAAGACGACGAATCAGCTAAATATTATTATGAAAATTTTTATTTAAGCTATTTTCATAAACTGAATGTAGTTGTTTATCTAGCTCTGCACTGACCCGACATTGACTTATCAGTCTTATCTTCTAAAACATAAGCAAATTTAAAAGCGAATTTAGTAGTTTACCTTAACAACAATATTTTCAATCAAACGATTGACTAAGCCGATCGAGTTTGGAAACCGAATAGTACAGAACACCGCGGAGAAAACAAAAGTTAGAGGCTACCACGAGCATAAAAGTTCGACTGCGTCAGATAAACTGACTGGTTTTTGGTTCTAAAATACCATCAAAAAACATTCCGAAACGTTTAGAGATGGACTCCTGTTCCTTGGGAGTGGTGATATATGATGAGCTTTTCGAGAGTTCTTGCTGATTGCAGTGTCACGTGCAAACCATATGGACTAACAGTTGGTGCAGCTCTAAGCCTCTAACAGTTTAATAGTTGTGGCATTAAATAAAATTAAGTAAAATATATGAATTAGATCGAATTACATAATTTTCTCATGATACACTACAAATTTCATACTATCCAGCCCGACAGATGTTACATACCTATTCCTTGTCGAGTGCCTCTCACTGAAATTCTGTCGGTGTCATTCTTTGGAAGAACGCACCTTGGTGCTTAAAAATAGATTACGAGGACCTTAGCTAGCGCTGAGAGCGTGCACATATGTTTTATGCACTTATGTAGTGATGGTCACGTACTTTCATTATCGTTACAAACAGCTCTAATGGTATTAATTTTTTCCAGAATTACCGTCACGAGGGTCCCGGTCAAAACTAGTTATTGTTGTAGCCATTCTTCGGTAAGTCTTGTCCAGAGTGGCCATAAACACGCTAAAATATATTTTATACTTTCCATTTTGAAACGTTAGTAAAGGAAACTGACATTCTGTTGATACCGACATTCAACTTCCGTAGCAGGCAAAGACGAAATTTTTAATTGGGTAACAACACTTTTTAAGGAAAGACGAAATTCCAAATTGGATAACAACAAATTTTTTGGTCCGACCTCTGTTTTAACACGTGCAAGGTCGTAACAACTGTGTATAGCATTGTGCATGTAGCACAGAAACAACAGAATTTGTGATGGATTTCGTTACAAATCATAGGATTCGTTAACCTTTGTATATCGAAAATACAAACTGTAAATAATGTAATAAGGCGTAGTTTCATGTTGCCTTAATAGCCACTATAGCAAGCCACCTACTATTAAACACTTCCAATTATTGAAAGTAGTTATTACAAAATATTTTGCTAGCTTTCAAATGATTTATTTCCTCTCGCCAGTTGCATGAATAGCTCTGATATTGCAATGTAAGAATATTCCTTCTAACGCAGCCTTGTTTTCAGAGGCTGTTTTACTAGTGGCTCGTCAAATTACAACCAGGAATATGGAGAGAACGTTCGCTTTTGAAACTCATCTGAAATTGAGCGAGTTACAAATGAAACTAAGTTCATATCACCAACTGAACTAGTGTGTAATTTATATCTCCTGATGAGAGAGGATTTACACTCTATGTACGATGAGTTATCTAATTAGGCCACCACATCGGAAAAAACAGCAGGTGATCATTTTCATTGCTTCCGTGAAATAAGACGAAAGATTGCGCGTTTTACAATCTTAGAAGTTTTTCTTACTAAAATATTCCACCACTGGGTATACCATTCAGGGAGAATTTAGTCTCTTTTAAACTTGGAAATGCAAAGTATTGTGCTATATTCAAATAACTTGCTCCTCTCAAATTACTCTAACGAAAAAGTAAACATAATTTCATCTGGTATCGTTAGAAAGACGGCCACTGATTGTTAAACCGATTCAATCACCTTAAAACAACAAATTAGTTACAATTAAATTACTTAAACAGCTTGTCTTCACATATCCGCCAGAAGGTAAACGCTATTAGTTATTTGAGGATCTCTGGGGACGTTAGAAAGACGGCCACTGATTGTTAAACCGATTCAATTATCTTAAAACAACAAATGAGTTACAACTAAATCACTTAAACAGCTTGTCTTCACCTATCCGCCGTAAGGTAGACACCATTAGTTATTTGAGGATCTCGCGTTCGATTCTAGAGAGTTGTCTCGTCATTTGATGATTAGCTGTGATAACACAAGGGCTGGCTAACGGATCAGTTTTGTCTGCGTTTAAGATAGCTCGCTAAGATCAGAATCAAACGGATAAGGAAAAATATGCAATATGTAATAATGACAAGAAAAAAACCTCTTTTTTCGGTCAAATCGTGGGAAAGAAGAAATCCTTATCGCCAGAGACAGAGCTAAGGTTTTGATTTTATTGAAAGTCTGGATAACTTAGATGCTCAATGTCTACTCTTAGCCTGTCGTTGGTCAGTCATGGCAAGATTATGGCCGAACGCAGTTATGCAAGATATATCTTAAGATTGATCTTTCCATTCTTAAACTTAGGCAGGGAAAGCTACCAATTTATCAGAGCAAATCAAGTGGCACTGATAAATTCACTGATAAATTTATTATAATCTTATATAATAAACAGGAGCCATGTAGCTGTTTCATCCACAAATATTTAACACTTTCTAAGAAAGGCTTGATGGCATCGTTAACATCCTAATTCCGTTCCTTTCTGAGGCACTTCTGAATGCAGACAACACAAACAGATTCTTTCGGCCAAAATGGTTGCTCTTTCTCAGTAGCTAACTTTCACACAAGGAATTCCTCCGTGCGCATGCTCAAAATCTTGAAATTCATGCCTCGGTACGCGATATTTTAACTTGAACAGAGGGTTAATCATCCATTTCGCACCATTAATGATAGCAAAGAAATAAAATTAAGGCAGTCTAAAAGCGACTTTGTTCGTTAAATATAAAAGAAATCAAACGAAGAAATTCTAACTCTTTGTGCCTTAAATGCAACTTGAGAAAAAGATAAGAAAATAAATTTTTGGCAATTTTCCGTGGGGACTGTAACCCTAAGCTACTTTAATCACGTTCTATTTATTCATCAAATCACGCATGCATTATTTCATTCACACAGTCGTGGTACCTACCGATGTTAAAACCATTAGAAGGAAATTA